CCGAGGTGTATAAGTATCCCTCACTGTTCATTGCCAAATACAGCTTGGTTTGAACTCCTTGAATAGCCACCACTCGAAGACCCACAGGGATGAGGTTAAACAGAGCTGAAATTTAAAAGAATGTGAAAACAACATTAATATTCTGGATTCCATAGCTTTTAATATTTCTAGCAGAACTACTTTATTCTCCAAAAGTAGTGTGAACTTGGTGAAGATAGATAATTAGATACAGATGGTCTTTTTTTTCTTTCTGTATGCTTGATTTATGGGTATAGTCACTTAACAGGGAGTATAACTATACATTCTCAGATAAAAGAGGAAATAGAAGACTTTTGTCCCAATTCTATGGGGTTTACACTATTGGAGGTGGAGAATCTTGATGCTTCTGGGGACCATGATCTAGTTCCAGGAATTGGTCTGTATACTAAACAGTGTCATCCTCCACAAAGTGAGATTTCAAACTGCTCCCCCAGATAGTTACTGAAATCTGCACAGGCACAGTTAATATCTACCAGTCAGGGAGAGATTATTAGACTTTTAAATACTAGTCCAATGCCCTCATCTAAATTATCTGTATGATTTTCAATGCAAAAACCCCCAAAGAATTTAGGTCTTTCGAAAAAGTCATCTTGCAGTCCTATATTCCCAGAGTAGTATTTCTCAAAGAACTGACATTTTCCAAGATAGAGTTGAGAGGATTCCTAGCTTTTAGTCTCTAAGAGCAAAGGTTACAGGAATAAAAATAATGAATTTGAGAGAGGTGTATTTTATTATTTTATTTTTTCCTGCAAAAGAGTTGCAAGTGGGCAGCTGAGTGGTGCCAATGAGGCCTTCATTGCCCCCACCTGAAGGTCTGATTGCGTGAAACTTACACCCAGGCTCTCCTCACAACCACACACCACTCACTAGAGACAACCAGTGGGTGTCCTCCCACTACCAGCTGTCTACTCCCTCCCACACTGTGAATAAAAATAAAACAGTACATTTTTAAAACATAGTGCTTGCCACACACATCTTTTGAAAATAGCCTATGCACCTTTTGCTCAGGAGTCATAGACTAATGTTGATGATTTTTGCCTTGTTTTGTAATTTTCTCAAGGATGATAAATCAGCCTGTTATTTTTGTGAACAAGAATGTAAAGAATTCAGTTCATGGGTAAGAGCAGGTTTTTTTAGGGGGAAACACTTTTCTCTGTGCATATATATTCTGCTGCAGTAGGTGGGGTAATATGGATGAAAAATATTAATGAGGAACTAAGTATTCCTTAGTGAGCCTACAGTGTATCTTTCTCTTAAAACCAGAGTGTTACCAAAGAGGAACTAGGACATATTGTACAGTTCAAAATACAAGTGTTCCTACCACATGCCACTGATGGCACTTTATTCAATGCTCATCGTATTAAAAGCTGTGCCCTTCTGTTATGTGAGGTAAAGGAAAGTAATTGCACAGATTGCAAGCCAGGATCTCATGTTATAGTCTACAAAGCAATGCACAGGCAAGAAGTCTGATATCTTCAGGACTGTCATCTACACGTCATATCTCTATTGACCATGCATGCCTTGCTCACAGCAAGGTGTTCAATACACATTTGTGGATTGATAGCAAACTGTATGGTGAAAACACAATATATTTTGGTAAAGTAATAGATCACAATTCCATAATATAAAAGCCCATATTTTAATTTTTTTGATGTAAAAAAAAGTGAACAAAAGCATTTATATAGGTTTGGTTTGGAAGCTTTAAACACTATATACTGCTTGACATCTGTAATACCAGAATATGTCTGAAAATGCATTTGGAGGTACTAATTGATAATATAGAACTATAAATGAAATTCAGAATTATTTCAATAACATCATATTTGATAAAATTCTCAATCTTTTTAAATTCTCTCAATGCAGCTTGAAATAGCAGAGTTGGGGGAAAAGAGGGAAATGGAAAGAGAAATTGAGATTGACTTGATGTTTGACTTGTTCCACAACCCTCTGATTTGGGCTTTAATAAGCAATAAAATGTTTAAACTTGGGCTGGGGCTGGGGCTCTGTGGTAGAGCGCTCGCCTAGCACATGTGAGGCCCTGGGTTGGATCCTCAGCACCACATAAAAATAAATAAGATAAATATATTGTGTCCAACTACAACTAAAAAAATAAAAATTTAATAAAAATGCTTAAACTTAAAACACCAGACAACTGTAGGGGGAAGAGAAGCAAACAGCATCAGCAATCCTACCTGAAAAATGGGACTGTGTAGTAGAAAATAAAAATTTCACTATGTACTATATATTTTTATGAAGTCTGTCTTTTTCCAAAAAAAAAAAAAAAACAAAAAACAAAAAGCAAAAAAAACTAGTACTCAAAAAAATTTTTTTGAACAGCAATTGCTAGAGTCCTGCTCATACTAATCCAATATTTTTCTTTACTTAGACATTCAAGATAGATCATAACCTGAGTTGGCTTCAAATGTGTTTAAAGGGATAGTCTTTCCAGATAAAAATGCAAAGAAGTTACAGTAGGGGTAAGCTTGGACAGGATCACTACCTTTCTATATGCCTTGGTTTCTCTAAATCTGAAGTACTTCATCATAGACTTAAGATTTTTTTTTTTGGTCAGGATGAAAATATTCTAAATTTGAGAAGAAAGGAATTGATTTCATTTGTGTATCTAAGACACATTCATTAAAGGTCTAAAATCATTTTTTTCCATTTTAGCTAAAGTTTTGAAGAAGTTTTTAATAAACAGAAGCTTCCTTGGTTCTTATCTGTTCTATGTTGTATCTACACAAAAACACATTCTACCCTGAAGGTATCATTTTTTGGAGCTGTGCACCTAGTTGGCACTTAGTGTTTGTAGAAGATAGCAGTAAAACCATGCTTCTTTATTGGTTGAGTTAAAGTCCATTTCTCAAAAGACGGTAATTAATAAATGCATATTTTAATGTAGATTGGAAAGACATGACACACTGAGCTGGTAACGCTATAGCAGTTTTGAAGAGAAAGGGCAAACTATCCTTTAAAAATAGCCTTCATTGTATCATAGTCATGAAATGCCTATCATCTTTTCCTTTTCAGGGGAAAAATTCATAATTTATAATGGCTGATTTGCTCATGATGAAATTTCCTTGGACTGACATTTACCATTGTAATAAATCTATATAAGGTAGGCTTGAATGAATAATATCAAACATGTTTTAGGATTGAATATGTCTGGGTAAACATTAAATGATTCGTTTTATCATGATCTTGCTTCCCATATCAGAATTTAAAAAATATAAAATCAATTAAATTGAACTAAATGAGAAAATCATGATAAAAAAGAAAATTAGGAAAATAAAAACATAAATGTAATACCAGAATACATATTAAGGAAATACACTATAAATGAGTGGTAGTTGAAGAAAAACAACTTGTATTCTTGTTCCACTCATTTAAATAATTAGTTAAAAATTAGTGCCAGGCACGCCTGTAATCTCAGAGGCTCGGGAGGCTACAACAGGAGGATCATGAGTTCAAGACAGCCTCAGCAACTTAGCAAGACCCTGTGTCAAAAATAAATAAATAAATAAATAGATAGATAGATAGATAGATAGATAGATAAATAAATAAATAAAAAGGGCTGGGGATGTGGCTCAGAGTTTGAGTGCCTCTGGGTTCAATATCTGGTATAAATTTTAAAATATATATATAATGCCAGGAAAATTGCTTGGATTTAGAAGAAAAGGAAGTCAATTCGGATGGCAAGATTTCCATTGTGACAGATCATTTCAGTCATTAAACACTCTTGTTTCACGATGGTTTATACTGCGTGATATTCTCACTGGGGAAGCTAAATTAGCTTTCTAGCTTCTGGTTACTTAGCATCAAGGCTAGAGTCAAGTCTCACCGAAGTACTATTTCCTTTGAGATAACTTCCATCAGTATGCATTATATTAGAGATATTAATACTTACCTTTGCTGACTTACCTGTTTTTGCTTTAATCTGCCTAAAAACAGATACTCGTTATCAAGCTATGTTATCTAAAAGCCTTCCAATATCATTAGTATATAGAAATGCCACACTTACCAGTCAAGAGTTATAAGAAAACCAAAGGCTGGAGTTATGCATATGTAGGGATAGAAGAGTAAAACCCACTATGTGATTTAAAGATCCATAGTAAGAATCAGAGCCTGATTTGTGTGTGTGTGTGTGTGTGTGTGTGAGCGAGCACATGTGGCATGGATCTCCTAAAAAGCTTACATAGAGTGTGATCTTGATGAGTTTGGCATAAAGGCTGTTAGTTAGAGACAACATAATGAATCATCTATTTTTTTAAAAAAAATTCCTTTTCAGGAAATGCATGTGAACACTGGATTCAAAATATTTCTTCTGATTTGGGCCTGGAGAAGACATTAAACATAGATGGAAGAAAACTTGACTGAGAAGGGCTCATTGGTAGCTAATCACGAGCTTCCCTTTAATAATGCCCCACAAACCCATTTTCTTGAGGCACTCTGGAAAACAGAGCAGTTTATAAGCCTTAATTTCTTACCCAAACACTAATCTGTACACGTAATTTTGGGGAATAGTTTATTACAGTGCTAATGTCTGTTATTTGATAATAGTAAAGGCCTCCAGTTACACTTAACTAATTGCTTTAAATAGAAGAGTATGCATAAAACTGAAACTAAGATTCATTATAAAACTTTAATATCACAACACAGAGAGCACTTTGCAAAACAGGGAAGAGTCATGTGCAATGGAGATTCTTTTTTATTTTTTTTAAGAGAGAGTGACAGAGGAGAGAGGGGGAGAGAGAGAGAGAGAGAGAGAGAGAGAGAGAGAGAGAGAGAGAGAGAGA